ACGCTCCTCCTTCTCCTCCTTCTCTTAGAGAGTGAACAACACACTGAACCCTGCAGTCACTATACTTCAAGTAGTACTGATTGGACCTCCTGATAGAATACTTCAAGTAGTACTGATTGGACCTCCTGATAGAATACTTCAAGTAGTACTGATTGGACCTCCTGATAGAATACTTCAAGTAGTACTGATTGGACCTCCTGATAGAATAGTTCAAGTAGTACTGATTGGACCTCCTGATAGAATACTTCAAGAAGTACTCCTTCCAACTGCTACTTAACCCTTCTGGAGTAGTACTTCAACTAATACTAAAGATATATGTAGTACTACATCCCTAAACTAATACTACCCCTAAAACTAATACTACAACAACCTCTCATGTACAGTAGTAGTAAACATAGTAACTGTAGTACTTTAAATACCACTGAACCCAACAACACCTCTACAAATACTGCTACACTCCTCATTAACTGTGTACTGAATCCTACACATACTGTACTTCTACAGCAGTAGTACTCAATCCTACAATAATGGTACTTTAACTAGTACTTACAGTTGTTGGTGTTTTTCTCAAGGCATGCTGTGTACATACACTCATAAAACTGCATCCTGTGCCCTAACCCCACTGTGCTCTGATACATGTAGTAGTAGTAGTAGCATGAGTATTAATAGTATAAGTACCTGAATGAATATTCCCAGTACTCCCTGTTCATCTGAAAACCCAGCGGGTATAAAATAACTACCAGGATACTGCATTACTGAGTATTACTGAGTATCACTGAGTATTACTGAGTATTACTGAGTATCACTGAGTATTACTGAGTATTACTGAGTATTACTTAGTACTCCCGAGTATTCCCGAGTATCACTGAGTATCACTGAGTATTACTGAGTATTACTGAGTATCACTGAGTATTACTGAGTATTACTGAGTATTACTGAGTATTACTTAGTACTCCCGAGTATTCCTGAGTATTACTGAGTATCCCTGAGTATTACTGAGTATTCCTGAGTATCACTGAGTATCACTGAGTATTACTGAGTATTACTGAGTATCACTGAGTATTACTGAGTATCACTGAGTATCACTGAGTATTACTGAGTATTACTGAGTATTACTGAGTATTACTGAGTATTACTTAGTACTCCCGAGTATTCCCGAGTATCACTGAGTATCACTGAGTATTACTGAGTATCACTGAGTATCACTGAGTATTACTGAGTATCACTGAGTATCACTGAGTATCACTGAGTATTACTGAGTATCACTGAGTATTACTGAGTATCACTGAGTATCACTGAGTATTCCTGAGTATTACTGAGTATCACTGAGTATTACTGAGTATCACTGAGTATTACTGAGTATCACTGAGTATTACTGAGTATTACTGAGTATTACTGAGTATCACTGAGTATCACTGAGTATCACTGAGTATTACTGAGTATTACTGAGTATTACTGAGTATTACTGAGTATCACTGAGTATCACTTAGTACTCCCGAGTATTCCTGAGTATTACTGAGTATCACTGAGTATTACTGAGTATTACTGAGTATTACTGAGTATTACTGAGTATCACTGAGTATCACTTAGTACTCCCGAGTATTCCTGAGTATTACTGAGTATCACTGAGTATCACTGAGTATCACTGAGTATTACTGAGTATTACTGAGTATTACTGAGTATCACTGAGTATTACTGAGTATTACTGAGTATTACTGAGTATTCCCGAGTATTACTGAGTATTACTGATACCTGTTACTCCTTTATAATATACTACCTGTGTACTTGTATATGGTGTTACTAATACCTGTTAGTCCTTTATAATATACTACCTGTGTACTTGTATATGATGTTACTAATACCTGTTAAACCTTTATAATATACTACCTGTGTACTTGTATATGATGTTACTAATACCTGTTAAACCTTTATAATATACTACCTGTGTACTTGTATATGATGTTACTAATACCTGTTAGTCCTTTATAATATACTACCTGTGTACTTGTATATGATGTTACTAATACCTGTTAAACCTTTATAATATACTACCTGTGTACTTGTATATGATGTTACTAATACCTGTTAGTCCTTTATAATATACTACCTGTGTACTTGTATATGATGTTACTAATACTCTGGTACCTCTGCTGCTCTGACGTACTTTCATATTTATTTTATAATGTTTATACTGAAACTCTCCTGACTGCTGGAACATGAATACAAATAAACGGTGCTAAAAATAATCCAGGTGCAGCATGACCTCTGACCCCTGTATGACCTATGGTGAACCCTGTATGATCCCCCTGTAGGACCTCTGACCCATGTATGACCTATGGTGACCCCTGTATGACCCCCCCCCCCCCCCCCCCCCCCCCCCCCCCCCCTCCTGAAGGTTTTGTATCTGCAGCATCAGAGATCGTAAGCTTCGCCGTCGGCCATGTTGGCTCCAGCGTGTTGCTACGGTAACGCAGTGTCTCTGAAGGGTTTAGTCCTCTAAGACACGTTTCAATGGTGACGGTGAATCTGGTGTTGTTGTTGTTATTGTTTTAGTTTTAACTGAGCTGTATGAATAAACTGTGAAGAAAAACCCATCAGAGTGAGACCTCCTGTTATTGATAAGAAACATAAACAACAACAAGCATAATGTCACATGACCCTGAGCTCACCTGAGAACACCTGAGAACACTGCCCCCACCTGAGAACACTGCCCCCCCCCCACCTGAGAACACCTGAGAACCCCTGAGAACACTGCCCCCCCCCCCACCTGAGAACACCTGAGAACACTGCCCCACCCCACCTTAGAGCACCTGAGAGCACCAGAAAACACCTGAGAGCACCAGAAAACACCTGAGAGCACCTGAGAGCACCTGAGAGCACCTGAGAACACCTGAGAGCACCTGAGAACACCTGAGAGCACCTGAGAGCACCTGAGAACACCTGAGAACACCTGAGAGCACCTGAGAACACCTGAGAGCACCTGAGAACACCTGAGAGCACCTGAGAACACCTGAGAGCACCTGAGAACACCTGAGAACACCTGAGAGCACCTGAGAGCACCTGAGAGCACCTGAGAACACCTGAGAACACCTGAGAGCACCTGAGAACACCTGAGAGCACCTGAGAGCACCTGAGAACACCTGAGAACACCTGAGAGCACCTGAGAGCACATGAGAGCACCAGAAAACACCTGAGAGCACCTGAGAGCACCTGAGAACACCTGAGAGCACCTAAGAGCACCAGAAAACACCTGAGAGCACCTGAGAGCACCTGAGAACACCTGAGAGCACCTGAGAGCACCTGAGAGCACCTGATAACACCAGAGAACACCTGAGAACAACTGAGAGCACCTGAGAGCACCTGAGAACACCTGAGAGCACCAGAGAACACCTGAGAACACCAGAGAACACCTGAGAACACCTGAGAGCACCTGAGAACACCTGAGAGCACCTGAGAGCACCTGAGAGCACCTGAGAACACCTGAGAGCACCAGAGAACACCTGAGAACACCAGAGAACACCTGAGAGCACCTGAGAACACTGCCCCCCCACCAGACAACAGGTGAAACTGCACATAATTTCCAGGACGGAGCTGCCATCCATGGAGGATCTTTACTACCAGCAGCTCAGGAAGAAAGCCCTCAGGATTATCAAAGACCCCCATCACCCCAGCCACAAACTGTTCTGTCTGCTGCCGTCTGGCAGGCGTTACCGCAGCATCTGGACTAAAACCACCAGACTAAGGGACAGCATCCGGACTAAAACCACCAGACTCAGGGACAGTTTCAGGACTAAAACCACCAGACTCAGGGACAGCATCCGGACTAAAACCACCAGACTCAGGGACAGTTTCAGGTCTAAAACCACCAGACCCAGAGACAGTTTCAGGACTAAAACCACCAGACTCAGGGACAGTTTCAGGACTAAAACCAACAGACTCAGAGACAGTTTCAGGACTAAAACCAACAGACTCAGGGACAGTTTCAGGTCTAAAACCACCAGACCCAGAGAGAGTTTCAGGACTAAAACCACCAGACTCATGGACAGTTTCAGGACTAAAACCACCAGACTCAGAGACAGTTTACGGACTAAAACCACCAGACTCAGAGACAGTTTCAGGACTAAAACCAACAGACTCAGGGACAGTTTCAGGACTAAAACCACCAGACTCAAGGACAGTTTCAGGACTAAAACCAACAGACTCAGGGACAGTTTCAGGACTAAAACCACCAGACTCAGGGACAGTTTCAGGACTAAAACCACCAGACCCAGAGACAGTTTCAGGTCTAAAACCACCAAACTCAGAGACAGTTTCAGGTCTAAAACCACCAGACTCAGAGACAGTTTCAGGACTAAAACCACCAGACCCAGAGACAGTTTCAGGACTACAACCACCAGACCCAGGGACAGTTTCAGGACTAAAACCACCAGACTCAGAGACAGTTTCATCCCACAGGCCATAAGACTGCTAAACACCCGAACTTGAAACAACATCCATAACATTCATCTGGCTGCTACTTAGGAATGATTTATCTAATATATCATATTCAATCACTTGCACATACACTCTTATTGCACTATGGTTTCTGTTTGTCTGTGTTATTGTGTTGCTCTGTGGGAGGAGCCTGTGGACTCAGTTGTGATCGTCATAACGTCACTGCAGTTCTGCACCATAGACTGTATATATAAAGCTCTGCACGCATGACCAATAAAAACCTTGATTCTTGATAATCTGAATAAATAATCTGCAGTACTTTTACTTTTAGTACTTTATGAATGCAGTACTTTTACTTGCAGCAGAGTACTTCTGCACTGCAGTATTACTGCTTTACGTCCTCCTCTGGTCGTTATGATTGAGATGAAGTATTTATATACTTTGATAAAGTATTTAAAGTACTTTAGTAAACACTGAGCGGTCAGTGTGACGCTGCTGGGGGGGGGGGGGGGGGTACAGAGGTTTGTTTACATTCATTTTAAAAACCAGAGAAGAAGAGGAGGAGGTCACGTGATCATAGAGAGCAGCTGGTGCGAGGAGCTGCACGCGGAGGTGAGTCTCGTGTTAATTCTTCAATGGATCCTCTCAGAGTCTCGCGGCTGTTACCTGTGCAGGTGAGCCGCCAGACACAGCGCGAGCTCTCAGAGCCGCGTGCTACTCCTGAAACTGCACGCGCTGTTTGTTGATAGCGCGGAACGAGCGTCACCTGCACAGGTGTCCGGTTCAAACGAGGATCCAACCTGAAACTACAGGAAACAGTGGTACTTGCCAAAGTGCTTTGTTTTGAACGTTCATCAGTATTATAATCAAAAAGAGAAATATGAACGTTAGTTTTTACTGAAATGATCAAACAAAGTCAACATTTCACAGTCTTTACTGAGCTGTGTGGGGTTTGTTTTAAGGACTAACGTTTATAATAAATGCATTTGTATTGATTTGAAGATCTTTTCATACAATCATACGTATTGGGATTATTTGTATTAATGTGGACCGGAGGGAGAGGGTGACGAGCATAAATTTCACTTTCCTTTTTTCTCTGTTGTCCCCGTTCATAAAGCATAACAGCATCAGAGCACGGTGCAGAGTCTCTAGATGAGTTTACAGTAGTCCCTCGTTCTTATTAAACATCCATCAGAGGTCAAGGGATAGAATTTAGGAGCTGATTTTTGGACTATCCGACCGCAACCTCTGTCTCTACTGAGATCCAAACATGACTTTAAATATATAAATAATTACATTTTAAATATATAAATGATATCAAGTTCTTATTTAAAGCCTGATTTATTCTAAAGATGAACACCAACATGTTTATTAAATATTAAATGTTATTATATATATATATATATATATATATATATATATATATATATATATATATATATATATATATATATATATATATATATATATATGACATTAGTTATTTAAAGGGTTAACAGTTTAACAGCTGCTGTAACAGGAAGTGTGGAGCAGCCCTTCAGAATAAGAGCGTGATGGGGGAGCGTCAGCTGCTGGAGGAGGTTCTGTCTCTGGTTCTGCAGAGGATCTCTGTGGAGGAGAACGTGAGGAGCAGCGAGCAAGGTAACTATATATATATATATACAGTGGCGGCCGGCCCATAGGGGCGCTAGGGGCGCCGCCCCCCCTCTTCCCACATTAAAAATAAAAAAATAAAAAAATAAATATATTTAAAAAATATATTTTTTATTTTTATTTTTAATAAACAAGGTAAATATTATATAATTGGTATCAGTAAAATGTATAATCTACAATAAAATCTCGTTTAAAATTGTGTTACGATGTCTAAAGTTACTGATAAGTCACATGTTTCCTGCCTGGCCTTGCCCGTGTATCATTACTCCCCTCTCGTCTGGGCGCTATGCACAGCGCCCAGACGAGAGTGCAGCAAGTGCAGCAGAAGCCAACTGTTGCTATCTTTAAACTATGCCGCCGAAACATAATTTCAGCCAATCAGCGTCGTCAAATATGATGGTCACAGGGCTCCTACGTGAGCGCCCGGTGCAGTCTGTGAGTTGTTTGGACTCGTATCCAAGGAGACAAAACAGGAAGCTGTCATACACTCTGGAAGCTACCATTAGCAGCTAATGAAAACTCCGTTTTTGACATAAAATTGAATTATGGATCATCAATCATTTTTCAAAGTGACAGACACATTGGATTAACCTATGGATTAACCTTCAGCTGCGTTTTTCTCGTTTTTGATCAGAATTGTTATTCTGCAAAAGGTGAACATGTCTCCGTGTTTTGCTACCTAAAGCTACGTCGTGTGATGTCTGTATTTGCTTCCCCTGTCGCGAGTTCTGATCGCTCAGTGATGATACTTATATTTCTAGAATCTGTGGAATCTCAGTTTGTTAGCACAGTTTATGCTGTAGAAACTATGTCCAGGACAAGGTGTTTGGAAGTTTTGGAAGATTCATAGCTAACCACACTGAAGTTATGGAGGTATTGATCAGTCTTCTCATATTTTTAAGCCTCAAATTGTCCTTCCCCCCCCCCCCCCCCCCCCTCTAACATCACCAGAAGTCATCATTTAGGGGGTCTTTTCTCAAAAAAATGCCCCCTAGTATTGTTTGATCACCATTTCCACAGCCCCACCTAAAATATTTTCCACCAGCCGCCACTGTATATATATATATATATATATATTAGGGCTGTCAAGTTAACGCGTTAATAACGCGTTAACGCAAAAAAAAAATTAACGCCACTAATTATTTTAACGCGATTAACGCATGTGTATTTTTTGTCCTCGGCCGCCGTAGTTTCAGAGCGCATCGAGTTTAAAATACCATCTACAAGCTGATGCTGACAGCCCCGCTCCTGCTGCCCGCTTGTGGCAGACCACACTTCCACGCTCACCGGCAGGCCCGGACTGGCCATCGGGAGGACCGGGAGGGTGTGTGTATGTGTGGCGCGAGCGAAGCACACCTTACGTGTTGTTGTTAGCATCTGGTGCTAGCTAGCTGAGCTAACGGATATAAGGAGCTGTTTCAATGAAAACAGAGGAGCGACATTTCGCCGACAACTGCGCCGAGCACTTGACTTGATGCAGGTAGCCAGACAGCACACTCAGCACGGATAGTGCCGCAACACAGCTCATACACACAGGCATATATGCCTTGAGCTGCACATAGCTCCAACGATCCTCCACATTCACACACACACACACACACACACACACACACACACACACACACACACACACACACACACACACACACACAGTATTGTATGAGAGAGGTTCCAGGTTGAATTGAGGCGAATATTTGTAATGTTCAGAGGTTGTTGTGTTTAATATTCATGAGAATATTTGTCATTGTTCAAATGATAATAAACAAACATATAAAGCATAGTTGTCCACTCATATGTTGATAAGAGTATTAAAAACTTGAAAAATATCCCTCTAAGGTACATTTAAATATTTTAATCGACTGACAGCCCTAATATATATATATATATATATATATATATAGTTATGTATGTGTGTGTATATATAGAGAGAGTATATCATATATCACATATTGTTGTCACAGAGTTAGTAGCAGTGGAGGATATATAATATATTGTTGTCACAGAGTTAGTAGCAGTAGAGGATATATATAATATATTGTTGTCACAGAGTTAGTAGCAGTAGAGGATATATATAATATATTGTTGTCACAGAGTTAGTAGCAGTAGAGGATATATATAATATATTGTTGTCTCAGAGTTAGTAGCAGTAGAGGATATATATAATATATTGTCTCAGAGTTAGTAGCAGTAGAGGATATATATAATATATTGTTGTCTCAGAGTTAGTAGCAGTAGAGGATATATAATATATTGTTGTCTCAGAGTTAGTAGCAGTAGAGGATATATATAATATATTGTTGTCTCAGAGTTAGTAGCAGTAGAGGATATATATAATATATTGTTGTCTCAGAGTTAGTAGCAGTAGAGGATATATATAATATATTGTTGTCTCAGAGTTAGTAGCAGTAGAGGATATATAATATATTGTTGTCTCAGAGTTAGTAGCAGTAGAGGATATATAATATATTGTTGTCTCAGAGTTAGTAGCAGTAGAGGATATATATAATATATTGTTGTCTCAGAGTTAGTAGCAGTAGAGGATATATATAATGTATTGTTGTCACAGAGTTAGTAGCAGTAGAGGATATATATAATATATTGTTGTCTCAGAGTTAGTAGCAGTAGAGGATATATATAATATATTGTTGTCACAGAGTTAGTAGCAGTGGAGGATATATAATATATTGTTGTCTCAGAGTTAGTAGCAGTGGATATATATAATATATATTGTTGTCTCAGAGTTAGTAGCAGTAGAGGATATATAATATATTGTTGTCTCAGAGTTAGTAGCAGTGGATATATATAATATATATTGTTGTCACAGAGTTAGTAGCAGTGGAGGATATATAATATATTGTTGTCTCAGAGTTAGTAGCAGTAGAGGATATATATAATATATTGTTGTCTCAGAGTTAGTAGCAGTGGATATATATAATATATATTGTTGTCACAGAGTTAGTAGCAGTGGAGGATATATAATATATTGTTGTCTCAGAGTTAGTAGCAGTAGAGGATATATATAATATATTGTTGTCACAGAGTTAGTAGCAGTGGATATATATAATATATATTGTTGTCACAGAGTTAGTAGCAGTGGATATATATAATATATATTGTTGTCACAGAGTTAGTAGCAGTGGAGGATATATAATATATTGTTGTCTCAGAGTTAGTAGCAGTAGAGGATATATATAATATATTGTTGTCTCAGAGTTAGTAGCAGTAGAGGATATATATAATATATTGTTGTCACAGAGCTAGTAGCAGTAGAGGATATATATAATATATTGTTGTCACAGAGTTAGTAGCAGTGGATATATATAATATATATTGTTGTCACAGAGTTAGTAGCAGTGGATATATATAATATATATTGTTGTCACAGAGTTAGTAGCAGTGGATATATATAATATATATTGTTGTCACAGAGCTAGTAGCAGTGGAGGATATATAATATATATTGTTGTCACAGAGTTAGTAGCAGTAGAGGATATATAACATATTGTTGTCACAGAGTTAGTAGCAGTGGAGGATATATAATATATTGTTGTCACAGAGTTAGTAGCAGTGGATATATAATATATATTGTTGTCACAGAGTTAGTAGCAGTGGAGGATATATATAATATATTGTTGTCTCAGAGTTAGTAGCAGTGGATATATATAATATATTGTTGTCAGAGTTAGTAGCAGTAGAGGATATATATAATATATTGTTGTCACAGAGTTAGTAGCAGTCGAGGATATATAATATATTGTTGTCACAGAGTTAGTAGCAGTGGAGGATATATATAATATATTGTTGTCTCAGAGTTAGTAGCAGTGGATATATATAATATATTGTTGTCACAGAGTTAGTAGCAGTAGAGGATATATATAATATATTGTCACAGAGTTAGTAGCAGTGGAGGATATATAATATATTGTTGTCTCAGAGTTAGTAGCAGTGGATATATATAATATATATTGTTGTCTCAGAGTTAGTAGCAGTAGAGGATATATATAATATATTGTTGTCACAGAGTTAGTAGCAGTGGATATATATAATATATATTGTTGTCTCAGAGTTAGTAGCAGTAGAGGATATATATAATATATTGTTGTCACAGAGTTAGTAGCAGTGGAGGATATATAATATATTGTTGTCTCAGAGTTAGTAGCAGTGGATATATATAATATATATTGTTGTCACAGAGTTAGTAGCAGTGGAGGATATATATAATATATTGTTGTCACAGAGTTAGTAGCAGTGGAGGATATATATAATATATTGTTGTCTCAGAGTTAGTAGCAGTGGATATATATAATATATTGTTGTCACAGAGTTAGTAGCAGTGGAGGATATATAATATATTGTTGTCACAGAGTTAGTAGCAGTGGATATATATAATATATTGTTGTCACAGAGTTAGTAGCAGTGGAGGATATATATAATATATTGTTGTCACAGAGTTAGTAGCAGTGGAGGATATATAATATATTGTTGTCTCAGAGTTAGTAGCAGTAGAGGATATATATAATATATTGTTGTCTCAGAGTTAGTAGCAGTGGAGGATATATAATATATTGTTGTCTCAGAGTTAGTAGCAGTGGAGGATATATAATATATTGTTGTCTCAGAGTTAGTAGCAGTGGATATATATAATATATTGTTGTCTCAGAGTTAGTAGCAGTGGATATATATAATATATTGTTGTCACAGAGTTAGTAGCAGTGGAGGATATATATAATATATTGTTGTCTCAGAGTTAGTAGCAGTAGAGGATATATATAATATATTGTTGTCACAGAGTTAGTAGCAGTGGATATATATAACATATTGTTGTCTCAGAGTTAGTAGCAGTGGAGGATATATAATATATTGTTGTCACAGAGTTAGTAGCAGTGGAGGATATATATAACATATTGTTGTCTCAGAGTTAGTAGCAGTGGATATATATAATATATTGTTGTCTCAGAGTTAGTAGCAGTGGAGGATATATAATATAT